AAGAGTTGGGCAAGGCTGGACATGTAGCTCAGTGGTAGGGCACTTGCCTAGCATGCATGCAATCCTGGTTTCAATCCCCAGCACTGCAAGAAAATAAAATTAAATTAAAAAAAGAGGTGGAGGCAGGAGGATCACATGTTCAAGGCTAGCCTAGACTACAGAGCAGGACCTGGTCTCAAAAAAACAAAACAAATTACTGGGCAATCTATGTCCACTTAAAAACTTGTACAAGAATATCCATGGTAGCAGTATACGTAATAGCCAAAAAGTAGAAACAGCCTAAATATCCATCAACTGATGAATGGATAAAATGTGATATATTCACTCAATGTAAAATTTATTCAACTATAAAAGGTAAGAAGTACTAATACCTGCTGCAATGTGAACAATCCTTGAGAACTAAATAAAAGCTAGTCACAAAGGACCACACAGTGTATGATCCCATTAATTGGTATGTCCATAATAGGCAAACCCACAGAAATAAAAAGCAAATCAGTGGTTGTCCTGGGTGGGGATGGAGTTAGGGACTACTGAAGTAGAAAAAGGAAACGACTGCTAACATGCATAGGGTTTCTTTTTGGAGTATTGAAAGTATTCTAAATTTAGATTGTAGGCTGGTAGTACAATTCTGTGACTACACTAAAACAACTGAATTGTATTATTTAAAGGGATGAATTTTAGAGTACATGAAATATACATACCTCAATAAAGCTATTAAAAAAAAATCACTGGGCAAAAAAACATCACTGAACAAGCTATTTAATGCAGTGTTATTTAAGTGACAAAGTTTATCTGAAAAAGTAAAAGTGAAGAGTGAGGGAGAAACAGACTCTACAGAGTGAGTGTTGGACTAGTAAAAGAGGAAAAAACAAGGTAAAAGAATACCCTGGAAGATACAGGGCAGATTTTGCAAGGAAAGTCACAATACCCAGGATATTTAATGTAGTTTTATTTATGAAAGGAAAGACAAGAAACAACTCAAATGCTCTCTTCAATAATAAAGGAACAAATGAATAAATATTCATTTAATGAACAGAATTTCATATAGTTAGAAGAAAGACAACTATGTATTTTAAAAACAGGATGCATGGCCAGGCACCGTGGTGCACACCTGTAATCCCAGCACTTGGGAGGCAGAAGGAGGAGGATGGCCACAGTGTGAGGCCAGCCAGGGCTATGTAGCAAGTTCAAGGCCAGCCTGAACTACACTGTGAGATCCTGCCTCAAAAAAATAAAATAAAATAATAAAAATAAAATGCAAGCTGAGCATGGCAATACAGGCCTATTATGCCAGCACATGGGAGGCTGAGGCCTGTGAGTTCAAAGCCAGCCTTAGCTAGCTATATAGTGAGTCCCAATGTATAAAAAGTATGATAGGTCCAGGGATTTAGCTCAGTGGAGCTGCACCTGTCTGGCAAATGCAAAATTCTGAGTTTGATCCCCCGTACAAAAAAGTAGGATGTTGGGGCTGGAGGTTTAGCTCAGTGGTTCCGCCACCTGCCTTGAAAGCACAAGGACCCAAGTACAATCCCCAGTACCTCCCCAAAAGTAGGATCTTGTACCATTAGGTGCAAAATATTTGGAAAATGTGGCCATAAAATAATACATTATAATTGCAACTATAGCATATATCCATGCAAAAATAAGAAGAGCTTTCTTGTTCTTTTTCTTTAATGTTGTCAAATCTTATAAACATATCTCCTTGGAAAAAGACAGCCTTCTAGTTTCATCCTTATAATCCCACAACAATAAAGTAATATAATACTGAGAATATCCTATGAACATCAAACTAAATCAACAGTAAGCCACACCAAAAAGAACCTGATAATTAATTAGGAAAGTAAGAATAAACAGACCTTCAGAAATTTCTTTGTCCAGGGATTTTAGTTCTTCTTCGATTTCAGATTTAACTTTTAATAAAACTTCTGGGTCCAGAGATTGTGAAGCTACATCTAGTTGAACCCCTGAAACCAACCAAGAAAGGTTACTTATTCAAAGAGGGAGAAAGAAGTCATTTTACCTACTAAGCCAGAAAATATAAAATCAAAACTCAGGCTAGGGAGGTTAGGGGGTACTTTATTCAATCATTAAGAAAACCACAACCAGGCCAGTAGCAAAGGTCTAAATCCCAGCACTCTCACAGGATGAGGCAGGAGGATGCCAAATTCAAATCCAGTCTGGGCATTTTAGCCACTTAGACCCTGTCTCAAATAAAAAATAGAGTGCTGGGGTTAGCTCAGTGGTGCTGCCACCTGCCTCAGAAGCGCAAAGACCTGAGTTCGATCCCAGTTACCAAAAAACTAAACACAAAATAAAAAATACAAAGGGCCTTGCAATCGCAAGGTCCTAAATTTGATCCCCAGTACCGCCCCCACACACACACAAAAAAGAAGAAAAAAAGGAAAGGCTGGAGATATAACAGTTGGGAAGCCAAGGCAGTAGGACTACAAGTTCAAGTCTAGCCTGAGCAACTTAATGCCTTGGTAAGACATTATCTCAAAATGAAAAATAAAAAAAGGGCTGAGGATGTAGCTCAATGCAAAGCTCCTGGATTTTCCCTATTAAAAAAAGAAAGAAAGAAAGGCATTGCTGAGCCTGAAAACAGAACAATTATTTTTGACAGTCCAAATTCAGACGAGCTGGCCACGGTAGCACAAGACCTGCAATCCCAGCACTTGGGAGGCAGAGGCAGGAGGACTGCTGTGAGTTAGAAGTCAGCCTAGGGTACATAGGGAGTTGAAGGTCAGCCTGATCTGTATAGTGAGACCTTTTCTCCCAAAAAATAAAAAAAAATTCAGACAAGTCAGTTTTAGTGACATCAATGCATAGTAACAACAGCCAAGTGTTAGTCACTACACTGCTTTCAATGCATACGTATGAATTTATGTGCATTTATACATACATTAAGCCCTCACAACAACTCTGGGACAGGTCCTGTTATTACTCTCATTTTGTGGGTGGGGAAACTGAGGCAGAGGAAAAAATGTGACCATGGATACACAGGCAGCAGTGCTCAGATACAAAACTGACAGCATGGGTTCCACTCTTAACCACTGCACTCCACAGCATCTCCCCTTGCTTGAGAGTGTGTGCTATATGGAATCAAAAAAGAAGTCCAAGCCTTCATAGTTTTAAGAAACTTCACAGTGGTAGGTGCAGTGAGGCACACTTATAATCCCAGCTACTCTGCAGGCCAAGGCAGAAGGACCACAAGCTCGAGGCCAGTCTGGGCAAACCTGTCTTGAAATAAAAAATGAAAGGGCTAAGGAGGTAGCTCAGTGCAAGGCCTTTGGTTCAATCCCCAATATCCCTAAGAAGGAGGGAGGGAAGAAGAGAGAAAAGCTTCCCGGAAAATTCTAGTCCTCACTAAAATGTAAAAACATTCTTTCAGTAATAGAGAATTCTTTCTTCTGGTTTCAGATTTTTCAGTACTGTAGAACAAATTTTTATTTGAACAGGAAATTTTTGATAGAAAGATTCAAATCAATTGACTATTCAACAGAATCCATAATTCTGGGACAAGGCCAAGTCTCACAATTGCACTCATAATAAGAGCTGGTTTGTGCTAAAGGTATTCAAGAATGTCAGGATAATTCTGAGCCATTCTAGAAATCTGGCTCAGTTTAGTCACATGTAAGTTTACATGTACAATAATTAGAGGATGTTGATTAGATACTTACTAACCAAGTTTTAGCGAAGGAAGAGTCTTTATTTCCCTAGAGATTTGAGATATAAATATAAATTGTCATGAGCGATAATGAAGTCCCTCCTTGAATAAGGCAAGGGACTCATAATCAACTGTTTTTCTTTCTCCTGTGCAAGAATCTTAGCAGAAGGCTGGGGTATGATGGCATACACCTTTTTACAGGAAGATCGCAAATCCAAAGCCATCTTGAGTAACTGAGCAAGATTCTGCATCAAAATAAAAATCAGTCAGCCAGGCGTGCTGGCACATGCCTGTAATCCCAGCACTCGGGAGGCTGAGGTAGGAGGATTGCTGTGAGTTCGAGACCAGCCTGGGCTACATAGTGAGTTCCAGGTCAGTCTCACTACATAGTGAGACCCTGTCTCAAAAAGCCAAAAATAAATAAATAACAATCAGGTAGGGTGGCATATACCTGTAATCCCAGCACTTGGGAGGCTGAGGCAAGAGGATCGCCATGAGTTTGAGGCCAGCCTAAACTACATAGTGAGTTTAAGGCTAGCAAGAGGTATAAAGTGAGACTGTCTTTTTAAAATTACATAAGTAAAGCTAGCAATGTAGCTTTATGGTATGCCTAGCTTGTACAAGGCCCTTGGTTCAATCCCTAGTACCATTTAAATAAATAAATAAATAAATAACCCCAGCAAAAGGAAAAGCAGCATGACTGGGACCAGCAAGTTGCAGATCTACTTACTACTCATTCCTTCACTGACAACGTTTACAGAGCACCCACTATACCTAACTAGCAGAGAAGGCCATGGTTTGTCCAGGTCCTGAAAACTTCACACGGATGTGCCAGTTCAGGACAGGCAGGAAAACAGTAATGATTCACAAAGCACCTGTCAACTAACAGGCACTGTGGTGAGTATTTCATGTGTGTTATTTATTTCCAGGTCAAGCTTATTAAGGGAAGAAATACGTGTCCTGTGTAAAGATGAGGGAACTTGCTGAGGTGTAACTTAGTAGTAGAGCATGAGCTTAGCAAACTGCAGACTGGGTTCAATCCCCAGCACCTTAAATAAATAAACAAAAGGATGAGAAAACCGAAGCTTGAATAAGTTATACCATAACTACAGAGGAGCTGTAATTAGAAATCAGGTCAGCCTGACTACTTCTGACTACTGACTACAAAACTTCAATCCAGACTACACCCTCCTCCTCATCTGGTCGGGAGGCCAGGAAGGAATTATCTCAGAAACACTTCTGGCATAAGTTGTCTCATCAGCACAATGCCTTCCAACACTGACATTCATGGCCTCTTATTTAATCTTCATTCATACAGTCTGCAGTCCAAGAGAAGGCTAGTTATCAAGAACAGACTTATATTCCCCAATATAAGAAAACTATGACCAGAAGTACTGGGCACAAACTACTTTAATTTTAGCAAAAGGAAAAGAAAGTTCTTAGTCTTGAGCAGGTGTGGTGGCACGCACCTAAAAATCCCAGCACTCGGGAGGCTGAGACAGAAGATCACCTCAAGTTCGAGGCTAGCCTGAAGTACATAGTGAAACTGTCTCAAAAAAACAAGTTTTTAGTCTTTTGCACATAATGGAGAAAAGGGAAAAGTATATAGGAGAAAGTTCAACTAGGTACTTGATAATTTAAGGTCAATTATTTCTCTCCCTTCTAGCTTTTTTTTTTTTTTTTAAATTTTGCTTTCTTTTGTTTTGGAGAGAGGATCTCACTATGTAGTTCAGGCTGAACTTGAACTCACTATGTAGCCAGGCTGGTCTCAAATCTGTGATCCTCCTGCCTCAGTCCCCTGAGTACTAGGTTCACAGGCCACTATGTTTGCCTGCTCCCTTCCAGCTTCTTGGAAGCCAGCCCACTAAGTAACGCAAATTCTGGAGCTTGGCATTCCGGTTGATCACTACATATGACTTATGTCAGGATAATCACCCTGTGAGCATCTTTTACATAAAATGTAAAAATAGTACCATAAAGGGTGTTGTCAAGGTTAATGAGATTAATAAGTCAAGTACTATCACATCAAAAATGCCAAATGGAGGGGCCATGGTAAAGTGCACACCTAGTATGTACCAAGCCCTGGGTCTGATCCCCAGCACTACCAAAAGAAAAAAACAGTGCCCAGCAGACAGTAGTTCCCATTCACTAATCCCTTGAATTCTTTAAAATGTCACTGGAGCCGGGCGTGGTGGCGCACACCTGTAATCCCAGCACTTGGGAAGCTGAGGCAGGAGGATCTCTGTGAGTTCAAGACCAGCCTGAGCTACATAGTAAGTTCCAGGGCAATCTCAACTACATAGTGAGACCCCGTCTCAAAAAAAAAAATAAAATAAAATAAAATGTCACTGGGCCAGGCAGGCATGGTAAGACCTATCTTCAATCCTAGCATTCAAGAGACTGAAGCAGGAGGATCACCATATGAATTTGAGGCCAACCTGCACTACACAGTGAGTTCAAGGCCAATACAAAATCCATTGAAAGACTGTCTCCAAAAAGAAAAAGAGAAAGAGGAGAAAATTTTTCTTTTGCCTGATTCTAAACATGCTTCCATGACAGTAGGGTAAAAACCAGGTTGAAAACATTTTGTTTAGCCTTCTAAATTCCACAAAAACATTTCAAATAGACATTGCTATTATTTTGCTCTTAGCTGGCCTTTTAGATTGAACTCAAGGCTGTTGCACTAAGCTACACCCCAGACCTTTTTTACTTTGAGACAGCATCTTGCTATGCCCAGGCTGGGCTCAGAGTTACAAGTCCTCCTACCTCAGCCTCCAGGGGATTACAGTGTACACCACGAATGCCTAACTTTGACCCGTCCTTAGTCAGAAACACAAAATATCTAAACATTTCAGACCCTTGCCATAAAATCTAGTGGATCTGTTTTTGTTTGTTTGGTACTGGGGATAGAACTCAGGACATCAAGCTTTCCAGACAGGCACTTTATTCATCCCCGGCCCCAAGCGGACCTGACTTTTAATAAGATTTCTGATATAACCCAAACATCAGATTTCCTGAATGCAGTCTCCATTCCTCCACATTCTAGGTGTTATTTTCATATTAATCTGGATCATCATCCAAACTGTGCATGCAAATAATAAAGGTCCCTAGATAGTGTTAACTACCTGTTTTGAGTTGCACTTTGGTGTAATTTCCTTACCTTTATCCAAAATCACATTAAAAGACAGTGTTCTGGGACTGGGGATTTAGCTCAGTGGCACAGTGCCTGCATGGCAAGCTCAAGGCCCAAGTTCAACTTCCAGTATCAAAAAAAAAAAAAAAAAAAATCATTCAGTC